ATCTAGGTTCTCTATTTGGTTGGCATACACTGTTCATAGCATTCTTTTAAACCATTATTTCTGCAAGAAATGTCCCCACTTCCATTTCATCAGGAATTTGAGTTCTTTTTTCTTGGTCAGTCTAGCTAAAGGTTTATTAATTTTGACCTTTTTAAAGAACCAACGCTTTGTTTTGCCAATTTTCTCTGTCCTTCTTCTAGTCTCTGTTTCATTTATCTCCAGTCGAATGATGATTTCCTTCCTTGTGCTCGCATTGGGTTTAGTCTGGTTTTCATTCTCTAGCTCCGTAAGGGGTAAGATTAGGTTATTGATTTGAAGTCTGCCCCCCCCACCACCTTTTTTTTTCAATGGAATCATTTACAGCTATAGATTTCCTTCTGAAAACTGTTTTCACTGTGCATCACATAAATTTTGGTCTGTTGTGTTTTCATTTTCATTTGTCTCTAAGCATTTCTAATACTCCATTTGATTTCTTCTTTGAAAGCAAGAAATTGCTTAAAAACCTGTTATTCCACTTCTAGTTGATTACCAGGCTCATTTCACTGAGGTTGGGGAATATACTTTGCATGATTTAGATCTTTTAAAACTTACTGACACTTATGTCACAGCCTGTCCTGGAGGACGTCCCATGTGCCCCAGAGAAGAACGTACATCCTGCTGCGGGGGAGCCGAGTGCTCTGTGCACAGCGAGGTCTGGCTGGTGTACCCGGCTGTTCAAGTCCTCTGTCTCCTTATTAATCGTCTACCTGGTGGTCCTATCCATGACTGAAAGTGGTATTTCAAAGTCTCCAACTATCATCTTTAAACTATTTTTCCCCAATTCCATCAGTATTTCCTTCATACACTGTAGGGTTCTGTTGTTGTTCATACATGTTTATAATTGTCATATCTTTCTTAAAGGACTTTGAAGGATGATTCTGACGATACAGAATTTCACCTTGGCTTCAGCCACAGCTAAATGCAGTGCCAGTGGGTTTATAATCTGTTCCCATTTTCACTTACACAAAAGGAATTGAGATGTCTTAAAATGATTTTTTAAAAAAATAAACACTATGCAGGTTTATAATCTATATATGACTTACACTGAGTCATAGGTAATAGTTTTTTATTTCTTTCTCCACATGTGGAAGGAGAGGAAAATGGATAAACAGCTTGGGGACGTCATAGTTAATAGGACTGAACTTCTGTACTTCCCTGAAGGTAAGGTAGAAAGTGAAATTCAGTGGGTTACATCATCTCAGTATTTGAGAAAAGGAATTGTAATTTTTGAGTGAAGGCAATCTGCTT